AATTGTTGGACCGAGGGCAAGGGCGCTGCAGATGGGTTTAGCTCTCTCGCTTGCAATAGGGCTTGCTAAACCATTTTCTTTTTGCCGTGAGCTCCTCGTTTTCCCTGTCAGTGTTTTGTTTTCTTGCTGTTTTAGGCTCGGGTTTTGAACGGCTTGCAAGCCTTATGGGGAGCCGTACGCGTTGTAACTGGTATTTTTGTATGAAGGAGGAGCAATGAAATGATACTCATGCAGCAGTACGAAGTAAAAATCAGGAGTTTTTAAAGCGCGGTGTTGAAGCTGACACAATGCAGAAAACATTTCTGCTGCTTGTAGAGCCTTACATCACCCAACAAAATGAGAGTCATGACAGTGCTGGATGTGAGCTGCTGCTGTACCGTTTATTCCACTAAAAAAAAAAAAAAACCCGAACAAAAAGCCCACCCCCATCCCAACGCAAAACTGCAAACTCCTCTCCTAGGTCCAGTTCCCACACCCCCTGCCCTCCCCCTCCCCCAGATAAGCCAAGTGCATGATAAGGTAATGGAAAACTGCTTGAGTTGCGTGCCTAGTTGTATAAAACTGCTGTCCAGAATCACAGCTGAAGATGCTGAGATCTGCAACAAGAGAGTACAGAATTTACACCTCCTTTATATCTTCTGCTCCAATCATGCAAAGATTACTAAATGCATAGTGTGTTCAGGTTGAGTATAGTATTTTTATTTTTGTGGGGGCAGGCAGACTTCTTTATCTAGCGCTGTGGGCTATTATCTTTTCTAGTAAGTGTTAATTTTTTTCGTTTAAATTATTCCTTTGATCTCATTTTACAGGCTTCTGGAGTAACAGTGAACGATGAAGTCATAAAGGTTTTTAATGACATGAAAGTAAGGAAATCTTCAACCCCAGAAGAAATTAAGAAAAGAAAGAAAGCTGTTCTCTTCTGCTTAAGTGATGACAAAAAACAAATAATTGTAGAGGAGTCAAAGCAGATATTGGTTGGTGACATTGGAGATACTGTGGAGGACCCCTATACAGCCTTTGTGAAGTTGCTACCTTTGAATGATTGCCGGTACGCTTTGTATGATGCCACATACGAGACAAAGGAATCTAAGAAAGAAGACCTGGTATTTATATTCTGGTGTGTAAAAGCAAAGCTTGCTGTTAAAATTGAATATTCTGGAGTTAACACTGGATGACTGAATAACTGTTTTGTTGTGGTTTTCTTCTTTCCTTCAAAGGGCTCCTGAAAGTGCCCCTTTAAAAAGCAAGATGATCTACGCAAGTTCTAAAGATGCCATTAAAAAGAAATTTACAGGTACGGACCTAAAAATGTTTTACTCATGAATTATAATGCCGTTTACATGTTGCAGTTCTCACAAGCACATTGTTGTCCGTCTGTCTTTCAGGTATTAAACACGAGTGGCAAGTAAATGGTTTGGATGATATTAAGGACCGTTCAACACTTGGAGAGAAACTGGGAGGCAATGTGGTAGTTTCACTTGAAGGAAAACCCTTATAAAAAGACAGACAAGTGCCATCTGGATCTAAGGAGCTTCCATTTCTGCAGCTCGTTCAATTGGAATAGTATTAGTCTCCCTGTCCCCTTCCCTCCTCAAAAAATAAGTCCCTTCCCTAATGTCCCTGAAGGAGATGTCATTGTTAAGCAGTCTACCAGTGATTGCCATTAGACTGTTTAATCCTGGTAGGTTTATGTAGGATCCAAGGAATGCTTTCACGTCATACTCTTAGCCAAAACTGACGTTGCAGGCATTCCTTGCAACATGTACAATGAATGTGATAGTTAATGTGAATAGTCTAGCAGACAGCAAAGGGTAAGCTAATTGAATGCCTTGAAAGTATTGTCCACTGGTCGGATGGTAGACTCTATACAGTATTACTTACAGTTGCACTTGATTGCAGTTCCATGAGGCTCTTGTGCATTCATACACCTCACCTGCCTTGACAAGCCTATTTTTGTGACATGGCAGCACACAACACTATGCATTTAAAGCACTTTTTTGTAATCTGTTTGACCCGCCCCCCCCCCCCCCCACACCACACA